TAAATATCTTTCTTAATAGGAAATCCAAAATGCCATCAGGTATAATATTCATTCTAGCCTCCATTCTGCACAGTATAATGCCATTTTAAAAACAGTTATGTCTAGGAAAGTTTTTCCCCATATGCCTGAACCTAAATTTAACAGCTGACGTAAGATCTTCGCCACAAGTTTTATGTTGTTCATTTCTTGGCATTCTGGAAAGTCTTTCCTTTCCCATTTCCAGATTCCATGCTCTCTTAAGGATAAATTTTTTTTTTTCTTAAAGAGAAAGTGGGAAGCTTAATAATTTCTAAGACTAGAAACAAAATTTTGTTTTGTTTTTCCAATTGTCCCTTCCTTAAAAAAATCAATGTGAAAGGGAGATAACACCCAGACCCAGAAGCTTACCTAAACGTTTTCTACTTTCCTCAACCACAGGAGTCTACACACCTCCCAGCTTATCCCCATTTCCCTCTAGCCAGGATGGAATACACCATACCTAAGCTGAGCCATCTTTTCCAGGCCCTCCGGACTGATGCGGTCCCTGGAGAGCAGGTTGCTGAGCTGTAGTTCCTGGTTATCAGCCACCCGGAGAAGCCTATGTAGTTCTTGCTGCTGCATATTCCTCATGTGCTGCTCCATCTCCTCAGGACTCATGGTGCTGGCAGGGAGAGGACTACAAACATATTGTCCTGAGGGAGTCGGGTAGCCTGGGTAGTAAGGCCCTGGGTACACACCATTTGTAGGGCCCACTGGGTACTGAAGAGGGCTATAGCCTGTAAAAGGATACTGGGAGGCAGGGCCTGGTGTCCGGGGGTAATAATAAGGGTTGTCAGAGTTTTGAAACTTATAGTAAGATGCTTGGGCCTGGCGTGAGTCACCCCAAGATGTAGGGCTGACTTCATCATCAGTGTCCAAGAAATGTAGCTGGGGTGTCTGGCTCTTTAGAGCAGGTTTCTGATCAGGATTGTTTGGGTCCCACAACCGTCGAGTGGTGCCTCCTCGGCCCCAACTCCGAGATCCCTTACTACCAGATCCAAATAATAGCCGAGATCCTAAAGGTGTAGACTCTGGAGAACCAGCTGAATTAACAGATAGGGTGGTATGGGCAGGCAGAATCAGAATGCCACGGCCACGACCCCGAAGTTCTTGTTTCAAGTTTTTGGACTCCTGCTTCTCAGAGCCTTTGCCCCTACTGCTCAAGCCTTTATCAGACTTTATCCTATCCGCATCCTCTCTGGCTGGCCTCACTGTGGGGGAATCTTTGTTCATGGTCTCTGCATCAAAAGTGACACGAAGAGTACCTCGATTTTCTTTACCATTGCTTTTCTGCTCTCCCTCCCCATGGCCAGAACAGTTTCTTTCTAAATGTTTCTTCCTTTCTGTGCTCCTCCGAGGCCCATCAGACTCATCAATTCTGTCCTCATCTAAGGAGTCAGTTGAGGACATAGATACTTGCTTCTTCAGTCGTGACCTCAACTTGGTCTTATCCTGGCGGCGGCGGCGACATCCATTATCAGTCAGGCCAGACCCCTCAGCACTGTTGTTGCTACCAGCTGAGCTGGTACTGCATGTGCGGTAGCGGTTCCTCCGTTTGTCTGAGCGGGAATAGCGCTTTGCAGAACCGGGCTTCCCCTGTGCTGGGTCTTCATTCACTTTCTTCATCCCCTCCCCTTTTTCAATCCTCTTTCCTTTTTCTCCCTTTGCAGCCCTTACTCTGTCACAATTTAGGCTCTTTTGTGTCTCATTTTTGTCTGGCTTATTCACAACCTCCTCTTTCATTTGTTCCCTATATTCATCTTCCTCTACTTTCAGTTGTTCCACCTGGTTGAGGATTTCTTCCTCATCCATCCTGCTGGTAGATTCTTTGGTTAGAGTCTGCATACGCCTTCCAGGCTGATAGATCTGCATGTCAGGTTTCTTTGTTTTCTTGATAATTCTTAGACTTCGATCCTCTTGTCCAGCAATTCTAGGAGAGGACTCCTGTGCCCGAGTATTTTCTGGGTCTACAGGACCATTTTGCTGTTGGTTGTCCAGTTCCTTGCAAACATCTTTAATGAGCTGTGTGCCATTTCCAACAGCTGAAGAATCTCTGTCATTAACAATTTCATCCTTAAGTTCATCACTCCCAGAGGGTTCTTTGATTTTAGGCTTGTTCCTTAGTCGTGATAGACCAGGCTTATAGATTTCCAGATCAGGGCGTCTATTATCTTTGCGTTGCCTGGGCTCCTTCATGATTTCTGTGATGTTGGAGAGTATTGGGGAGGAAAGGGTAGAAGAAAAGAATAAATAAGGTGGGAAGGCAGAAAAATGTCATTCTGGTAAAGAAACAGAAAAGTCAAACAAAAATTACACATCAAAATGCTATTATTGGCCCTGGTTGGGTAGCTCAGTTGGTGAGCATTGTCTCTGATACACCAAGGTTCTGGGGCATATACAAGTATCAACTAATAAATGCATAAATTAAGTGGAACAACAAATCAATGTTTCTCTCTCCCTCGTCTCTCTAAAAATCAACAAAAGTTTCAAATGTTATTAACAAGGAAGGAAAGTTCTTCAGAAGCAGAAATTCTACTGTTTACAATATTTGTTCAGCAACTGACAAAGCTAAGAACTTAATTGTGAACTCATGGACACAGACAATAGTGCAGTGAAGGCCTGGGGAGGGGGCGGGGCAGAGTGGAGTGGGCTAGTGGGGAGGGGTTGGACATCTATACTTTCAACAATAAAAATAATTTTTTTTTAAGAGAAGAAGTGGGAGCAGGGAAGAGGAGGTTACTGGGGAAATCAAAAGGGGACATCTGTAATACTTTCAACAACAAAGATAATAAAAAAAAAAATTTTAATGCTTGTGTTAGAGTTACCTACACCTGAGGTAAAGATACAAGAAAAAAAATGTTACTCAAGTCATATTCAGATCCCCAAGGCCCTAACTACCCCATTACTGTCAGAATAAAAGATCTCCAACCATTTCAGCAACAGGCTGTTCTCTATTATAGAGCCCTCAAATCCATCTTAGTCTTTTCTTCTGCCTCTATTGTTTTTTCTAGGGTGGCCGAGTCCTTTTAACATACTAGTAGGAAAGAAGTAAAAGTGGGATATGCGTAACAATCCCTGGTTTGGACATCCCTGGAGAAAAAACTGCAAGTCCAGACTTCGACTTGGCCAGGACAATCCTCTTCTTTAGGCTACCAATTATCAAATCATATACCTCCTGCCGAAGCAAACTGGAAGCAGTTTCTTTCACATTCTTCAACTCCACTCACGCTCACCAACTCTCTAACAGTAGCCAACAGAGTCATTCCAAGAAAATACTGCTCAGAATATCATCATTAGAATACTGAGACTAACTGCTACTATGATGATGGAATATGAGAAGGAAAAAGTTCCATAAGGAAGCTTTCCCTGGAAGATGATGGAAATATTGTGATGAGCTCTCAAAATATCAAAGACTGGGGCACCCAAGAATAAGAGCACAGGACTTCAAAAACCGCTATCCGGGATCCACGAACTTACTTAAGGACAGATAAGCAAGTCTCTATTTTTTTGTGTCTGTTATCTTATCTATTAAGGGGAAAGACTACTATGAATAGTTACTAAACCTTTCCATGGAGAAGTGACAGGAATTAGTGAGATTACAGAATATATAAAATGAAATGCTATATAAAATCCTACTATTGTTCTACAAATACACATGTAAACAAACCCATAATAGAAATTTACACCTGTATGTGTATATCAAAACATAACAGGGGGGGGAAAAACCGCCTTGATGTTTTACTGCTACAGTGTTCTCAGAAGTTTAAAAGACTGTTTCAAGTCTGAATAAATTAAAGCAGTTTAACTCCAGAATAGCTCACCCTCAGCAGCCTTTTATAACTTAGGTGAAATGGAGAGAGGGAGAAGAACTACCACTATTTTCCACAGCAGAGGGAGAAAAAAAACCTGAATAAATCCGATTCAGTTGACCAATGAAAACCAATGTCACAGACTTTGGCCACAGGTCTGCAGAAGCATAGCTACCATTCTACAGAAGTGCACTGCCTAACAAAGGGGAGGGGAGACACTAGAACCTTCCCTAGGCGCTTTCCTGGTGTGGCTGGAGGCTTGAACTTGCAAGTTGAGCGTTCTCTCTGAGAAAAAACAGCTCCCACAACACGCCAAGGCCAAACCAGAGTAGAGTCAACTCTCTGAGGTCCTGGATCCCTTCCAGTGGCCCAGTCGTCAGAAGCCTGCCTTGGGGTGGGGGGGAAAAGTTCAGCAAAGAAGTCCCAAGCTATTCAACCTTCCTCCATTTCCCCAGTTCCTTCTCTCCAAAGCTAAAGAGATGACGGGCTGGGGATGATCCTTCTGGGAACGGAACATCCCGGGGCCTCCACCAGACCCCAGCGCCACTCCTTGACGTTTCTCCTGACGCCTCGGGATCCACGAGAGGGTCTGAGAAGACCGAGGCAATGGGGGAAACAGTCACCTTCGCGGCAAGAAAGGGGGCGGAGGCAGGCACTGGGGTTGGACTCGTCAGAAAAAGGGCCAGAGCTGCCTCAGCGGGACCGCACACGGAGCCCGGGGCTGACTCGTAGGGCCGCCAGGGGGACCGCCCTCGGGCCCCCGCCCCCACTGTTGGGGGAAGGGGCGGGGGCTCCGAAGCGCCGCGGACCGAGCGGGGAGGAGGCAGAGAGGAAGGCGGGGCGGGCAGGCCCGGCCCAGGAGCTGGGCGGCGCGACTCACCTCTGCTCCCAGCCTGCGGAGCCAGAGTGGCCAGGATCCCTCGCAGCTCCGACGCGGAGATCCGGACACGCTCCAGCCCTTCCGCCATCTTCGCCGCTGCTGCAACAGCTGCAGCGACGCCGCCGCCGCCGCGCGCAGCCAGGAAACCACGGCGGACGGGCGGCGCGCGCGCTCACCCACCTCCCACCTTTCTCCCCGCCCCCTCCCGGCCTCCTCCCCGAACGACGGTGGCCGCGCTGGGAGCAAAAGCGCCAAACGGACGCTTCGCCGCCGGAGAGACGGAGCGCGAGCCGGGGCGTGGGAGGCTGGCGCCGCGCATGCGCAGAGGTGTGGCCGGGGAAGGTGCGCGGAGGCCGGAGTCGGAGGCGCGGCCCCTGTGAGGTGAGGTGAGGCGAGGCGAGGCCAGGCCCGCTGGCGGGCGGTGGCGGCGGCAGCTGCTGTCGCTGCTGTGGTGGCCATCGAGGACACTGGTGCTGGTCTGGGGCTGGGGTTGACAAGAGACACCGCAGGATCCGGCCTCCTCCGCTCATCTTAGGCCAGGGTCTCCCACCGCAGGCCCGGACTAGTGCCCCAGGCCTCTGTTTTGGGACCTTACAAATCTTGTAGGAGTAATTATTATTTTTCCCACTTTCTTCTCCTCCTCTTCCTCCTCCTCCATACCCCTCCCCGCTCCAAAGATGAAGAAACTGAGTCCTCGGGAACTGTAGTTCCCGGGGTGACACAGTCATAAGTAACCAGAGTATCAAAGTCTTTTTCTCTTTTATGGCAAAGTGCATCCCCCAAGCCAGCCTCCTGACTGTTTATTTTTAAATGACAGTGCAGTTGGCTCTTGTTGAGGAAGGGGTTGTGTGGAAGTAAATCAGGAGGTATTGATACGTCGGTTTGGGAAATTTCCTTATCATTGTGGATTCTTGGGAAAATTAACTTCCCTGGTTCACAGCTAGCAAGTGCAGCGGCAGTGGCGGGAGCCTCTCCCGCCTCCATGGCAGTGCTAAGGGTGTCCGACTGACATCGCCCGAGGGCTCCTGGACTGCAAGAGGGCGCAGGCCAGGCTGGGGGACCCTCTCCCCCAAGTGCATGCATTTCGTGCACCCAGTCTCTAGTGTAAGTAATAAAACAACAAAGCAAATTTGGACAGTGGGGGAGAGAGAAATTCAGTTCTGAAAACAAAAATTGTACAGGTCATCATTGCTGAGCACAGAGTAGTAAAATGAGTAATGAATAGCCAAAAATTTAAAAATTCTAATTACTTGGGATTTTTTAAAAATCACCAATTTTGGCCAGGACCGGTTTGGCTCAGTGGATAGAGCGTCAGTCTACGGACTGAAAGGTCCCGGGTTCCAGTCAAAGGCATGTACCTTGGTTTCGGGCACATCCCAAGTGGGGGGTGTGCAAGAGGCAGCTGGTCGGTGTTTCTCTCTCATCGACGTTTCTAACCCTCTGTCCTCAATTCCTCTCTGTAAAATCAATTTTAAAAAATATATTAAAAATTTTTGAATAACTCCTGGGTCAAAAAAATAAAACTAATATCATTGATTCTTTAAAAATTAAGATTTCTGTAAGTGGAGAAGGGTATAGAAGCAATAAGTGGTAATGAACAGATACTTGACTGGGATGGTATACATATTCTACCGGGTACAGATTATGTGCTGTAGAATTGTGCACCTGAAACCTGTATAATTTTGTTTAACAAGTCTCGCTATAAATTCAATAAATTCAATAAAACAGAAAAAAGTTAATGAAAATATTGCAAGCAAAACCGATGGTATATTATTAAACCAATACTCAGGGAAATTTATAACCCCTGCTTTTATTATTAATTTTTAAAGAATAGAAATTAAAAGGAAAATAGAAGAATAAAGATAAAATCAGAAATTAATAAGGAAAAAATAACAGTACTTGATTAAAAACATAGAGGATCTCATTCTTTAGAAAAAATGGACACATTTATGGGAAAAAAAGAAAAGAAATCTAAAGAACATCCTGTTGGATGTCTCATACGTAATTCAAACTTAGCTCATCAAATCACTGATTTTCTCTAAAATACTTGTTTCTTCATCAGTTTTATATGTTAATAAATTATACCGCCTAAGTCAAACCCCTGGAGTTGTCTGTGTCTCCCTCACTCCCCACATTCAAACCAATATCAGGATATGTCTCTTCTATCTCTGTGTGGACATCTATGGAATTCACCGCCTCAACATTCTCTCCTTTTCTCTTGAAAACTCCCTCACTCTCAGAAGTATGTTCTCTTTGTCCTTTTGTTTCTCTTTCCTTTTTTTCTCCTTACTCCCTTCATTTGCTCCTATTTTTCCCACAGGTACAGAAATTTAAGGCAATCATACTATTTGGTTCTTGTTACCATCAAGGCCTTATCTTTTCCCTGTTCTAATTACTACTCATGTTCCTACCCTCCCCACTTAAGTCATTGCTCTAATGTGTTTACAATATGTACTTGGATATATCTATGTCTTTTAATAATATATAGTGTCTTATGTATGTATATGTTTTAAATGTACATAATTGACATTGTGTTATAGAAATCATTCTGTTTCTTTTTCACGTTTCTGTAAAGACTTCTGATGCATAATATTGTCTTAAATGCCCTCACACCCTTGGCCACTGGTCCTGGGCCAAGATGGATCAATCAGAGTCCCTACCCAGAATTTTTTTAACTGAAACTGAGAAAGAAAATTCCTGTCCAGTGTGGGAGCCATAAAATTTAAAACACAGGAGCTGTCAGCAACCACGCATCCTGCCAGGTGGAACTGGTCTGCGACAAAAAAGGATGAAACTAACATGCAAAAGCAACAGAGGTGAGAAACACAGAGTCCTAGAAAGTCTCAAATCCCTGGTTTTAATTGTTCCTGAAGGTCCATCTCCTTACCTGTCCCATATTTTAACTCTTCAACTCCATGAGCCACATAACTCTCATCACCTCCATCTTGTGTCCAGTTCAAATTGGGGTTCTATTACTTGCAGACTAACTATTTATCACTAATTATAATCTTCAAAATGTAACTATTTTTCTGTTTTTTAAAATTGTGGTAAAATACACATAAGATAAATGTTATCATCATAGCCATTTTTAAATATACAGTCCAGTAGTGTTAAGTACATTCACATTGTTGTACAATCAATCTCCAGAATTATTTTCATTTTGCAAAATTGAAACTATATTCATTAAACAGCTTCCCTTCCCTTTCCCCCAGCCTCCGGCAACCACCATTCTATTCTCTATGAATTTATCTGCTCTAGGTACCTCACATAGTGTAATAATAAGTATTTGTCTTTTTGTCTGGCTTATTTTACTCAGTATAATATCCCCAGGATTCATTCATATTGTAACATGAATAGTAATCCATTCCATTGGCATAGATCAGATTTTGTTTGTCTGTCAGTAGATACTTGGGTTGCTTCTACTTTTGGCTATTGTGAATAATGCTGCTATAAATAATAATAATAATAATAACAGCAACAATAATAATGCTATGAACAGGTATTTGAGACTCTCTTTCAGTTCTTTTGGGTATATATCCAGAAGTGAAATTGCTAGCTCATTTGGTGATTCTATGTTTAATTTTTTACATACTACCATACTGTTTTCCATAGTAACTAAACCAGTACATTTCCATCTACAGTGTACAAGGGCTCCAGTTTCTCCTCGTCCCTGCCAACATTTGTTTGTATGTGTATGTGTTTAATAATTGTCATTCTAGCCCTACCTGGTTTGGCTCAGTGAATAGAGCGTCGGCCTGCGGACTGAAAAGTCCCAGGTTCAATTTCTGTCAAGGGCCCATGCCCATGTTGCAGCTGGATCTCCAGAAGGGAGTGTGCAGGAGGCAGCCCAATGGTTCTTTTTCATCATTGATGTTCCTATCTCTCTTTCCCTCCCTTTCTCTTTGAAATTAATAAAAAATGTATTAAAAATAATAATATTTGTCATTCTAATATATGTAAGATGGTATCTCCTTGTAGTTTTAATTTGTATTTCTCTAATGATTAGTAATGTTGATCATCTTTTCATGTGCTTGTTACAAGTCCATTTGTATATCTTCTTTGGAAACATGTCTGCTCAAATTCCTCACCCATTTTTTGTTATCAGGTTTGGTTTTCCAAAATGTGATTTTTTTTTTTTTTAAATATATTTTATTGATTTTGTACAGAGAGGAAGGGAGAGAGATAGAGAGTTAGAAACATTGATGAGAGAGAGTCATCGATCAGCTGCCTCTTGCACACCCCCCACTGGGGATATGCCCTCAACCAAGGTATTGTACATGCCCTTGACCGGAATCGAACCCAGGACCCTTCAGTCCCCAAGCCAATGCTCTATCCATTGAGCCAAACCGGTCTTGGCTAAAATGTGATTTTTTTTAAATAATCAAGTGATTATTTTTTTCTGCCTCCACTTTCACCATCCAAGTCCCTATTGTCTTTCATGTGGAAAACTTTAATACTATTTAACTGAATCCCCTGTTTTCTACTCTTCTCTTTTTTTCATTCACCATAATGTGCTTTTCTGAAAATATTAATTTTAACATGTCACTTACCAGTTCAAAAATTTCCAATGGCATTCCATTGCTCTTAAGTAACATATCCATGAATCATGGTCCCTAATGATCCTAGGGGTGTCGAACTCAATCAGAGAAGGGGCCAAAATCTAAAATCCAGCCTAAATCGAGGGCCGAATGGTTTACTGAACAGTCATAAACTGTCATTGTGATGGAAACGCAGCGGAGTGCAGTGATGACAGCGCGGTGTGGGCCACATTGCAAGGCCTGGCGGGACGGATTTGGCCCGCGGGCCTTGTGTTTGACACATGTGATTCTAGACCCTGCCAACTTCACTCTCATCTCTTACACTAACTACTCTTTGATCACTATTTTCATAATCATTGGCCTCCTTTTAGTTCCTAGAATATGACAGCCACCTCTCCTCCCTAAAGTCTTCACACATGTTTTTTCCTCTACTTGAAACACTTTTTTCCCTACTCTGCCCATCTTATGGGTCAACTTAAAATTTCACTTCTCCATAGAGAACCTTACTTGATATAAATAAAGCCCAACATCATAGTATCCTATCATAACTCACTTCCCTAATATCACCTATTACTAAATGTAAATAAATATCTATTTTGGGATTACTTTTGCTCATCTCTCCACAATATTGTAAGTTTTATGAGAGCAGAGACAAGTCTGTTTTTCTAACTCAAAATCTCCAGACCAAATACATAGAAGGTTCTCAATATTTCATAAATGAACGAATAAATGAATACCAGATATGAAGAATTCCTAGATATATTAATATGTACAACTTCATACTAATTTTGTATGACTTTGCAAATAAAACGTTACTGAAATTAATTCAGGAGGAGTTGGAAAATCTACATTAAAAGAATAATTATGAAGTCACTGAGAAAGTTACCAGAGGGATATTTGTGAGTTAAAGACAAATTATCTTTATTTGCAGAAAGCGTGATTATTTAGAGAATGAACTAGAAAACTATTAGCTCTAATAAGATACTCTAGTCCTAACTGGTTTGGGTCAGTGGAAAGAGCGTTGGCCTGTGGTCTGAAGAGTCCCGGGTTCGATTCCGGTCAAGGGTACATGCCCGGGTTGCGGGCTTGATCTTTAATTATAGGGCATGCAGGAGGCAACCCATCAATGATTTTCTCTCATCATTAATGTTTCTATCTCCCTCTCTGAAATCAATAAAATAAAAATATGTATTTTTTAAAAGATACTCTAGTAAAGTTTCCTATTACGTTTTCATATACATTATCAGTAAGTGATTTAAAAATCTAAGGAAAGCCAAGACCGATTTGGCTTAGTGGATAAAGCGTCGGCATGCGGACTGAAAGGTTCTGGGTTCGATTCCGATCAAGGGCATGTACCTTGGTTGCGGGCACATCCCCAGTAGGGGTTGTGTAAGAGGCAGCTGGTCGATGTTTCTCTCTCATTGATGTTTCTAACTCTATCCCTCTCAATTCCTCTCTGTGTAAAATCAATAAAATATATTTTTTTTAAAAATCTAAGGAAATACCTTATCTCAAAAAATGTATTCTACTTAGGCACAGATTTAATCATATCTGGATAGGACACCAGTAAACTATAAAAACTTTACTGAGAAACCTAAAATGAAAACACTTTACTAAATTGAAAGACACAGGTGTTTATGGATAGGAAGACTCTATTCTTAAATGTCATATGCCCCCAATTCATTGTTCATTTGACAGTGGTATTTCTGACAACCTTGATAAAAGGTTTCTAAAGTCTCTTTGAAAGAATTATTTGTGAGGAAAGCTAATAAATTTTAGAAAGAGTAATCAGGGAAGAACATAATATAATGAACAACTGGAAAATGAATTGACAGTCTCATAAATAGAACAAAATATGAAGTCCAGAAAAGCTCTAAGCACTAATAGAAGTTTAATTTTGATAAACATAACATTTCAGAAGAAAAAGATGATCCAGTCAGTAAATTGGTGTGTTCAAGACTCATGAAAGAATAAGTGGCCAATAAATATACAGAAAAAATGTTCAATCACTTTTAAGAAAAAGTTAATTCAAACTACTAGATATTTCATTAATTGAATAGATAAAATGATATGTCAAAGGTGAAGAAAAATGGACATTCCTTAGAAACTACTGTGAGAGAATTAAATGGTATAATCTACAACTCTTTGGAGATGAATTTGGCAAGGTATATCAAATGTCTTAGAAGTGTTCATGCCTTTTGATGCAAATAACGGTGGAATCTACTCAAAGCATGTATGGAGACACACAAAGATCTTGTAACAAGGCTATTATTACTAGAGGCCCAATGCACAAAATTCGTGCACAGGTGCCATCCCTAGGCCTGGCCAGCGATTGAAGAGCGAGCATCTGGTATGGAAGGGCAGGTCCCAGCTGACCTCTGCGCCCTGGGCAGCACCTGGGCCCCCAGGGCCCCGCACATCCCCTTCCGCCTGAGTCACAGCACCCGAGTCCCCCTGTGGAGATGCAGTGAGCACAGCCTGAGGCTGCAGGCCAAGGCACAGCGTGGGCCTTTATGGCGCCCAGTGGCCCTGCACGGAAGCCGGGCAGGCAGCTTGCTCTCTCCTGGCTTGCCTTGCAGACCGCTCCTGCATGAACCCATGAGCCCAACCGGCCCCTGCAGCCCCAGGGCTGCAGCCCAGCTCACCTGGAAGAGGCTGTGCAAGTGTGGAGTGGGCTCTTTGCTGGTGCCTGGCACCTGAGTGCAGGGTTTTCCAGCGCGAGCACTGGCGTCCTGGGGAAGGGTAGCTGAGGGAGCGAGAGTGAGCTCAGCGGACACCCAGCATTCTCATCGCACCTCTGTCCCCAGGTAGCCAGTGAGAGGTCGAAGCCCCTCCCCCTTTCCCTCCCCCCTCTACCCCGGTGCTGTGGGAGATTGGTCGCTGCCAGCCACTCCCAGTTCCCCGTCCCAGCCCCTAGCCCGGCTCCTTCAGTGCTTCAGAGCCAGCGGCAGGGGCAGGACAGTTGGGGGGCTAGGGGGTAGATAATCAGGTCCCACCCGCCCCAGCCTTGGCCTGTGTCGCCTGCTCACCTGCTCCACCATCCCGCCACAGTCCCACTCTCATCAGGGTCCATTGGGGCCAGCAGCACCTCCACTGCTGCCCACTGCCAGTGCAGAGAGAGAGAAACATCGGTGTGAGAGAGACATATTGATTGGTTGCCTTCTGCACACAAGCCCCAGAACAGGGACAGGAGTGAAACTGCAACCCAGGTCTGAACCCTTGACCAGGAATCCAACTCCCAACCCTTCAGTGTGTACGCTGGCTCTCTAAACACTTAGCAACACCAGCCAGAGCTTTTTATGTATTTATTTTCAATGCTCACCCAAGTATATGTTTTTTATTGATTTTAGAGAGAAAGGAAGGGAATGAGAGAGAAACATCAAAGTGATGCTGCCTTTCCTGACCAGGGACTGAACCCATAACCTAGGTATGTGCTGACAGGGAATTGAACCTGCACTTTGTGTGTGTGTGTGTGTGTGTGTGTGTGTGTGTGTGTACAGAACATCCAAACCTAGCCACACCAGATGGGCTCTTTATTTTTTAAAAATATATATTTTAGAGCAGCTTAAAGTTCTTAGCAAAATTGATCCAAAGGCAGGTTTTCCATAAAACCCCTGAACCCCCCATATGCATAGCCCATTATCAACATCCCTCACAAGAAAGGTATCCTATATAATAAAAGTGTAATATGCAAATCAGTGGGACGGGTCAGTGGGGGTTGGGGCAGGTAAGCAGGTGCTGCCAGGCCAGCCAAGGCACATGCCAGTAGGCAGAGGGAGGGGACAGCGATGGGGTGGGGGGAGCAATAGGGGCTGGCACCATCCCCTGATTGCCCGCCTTGTCACCTCCCACAGAGGGAGGCCACAGGCAGTAGCACAGGTGGGGCAATTTGGGGCAGGGCCACCCAGCACCGTGCACAGACCTGCTGGGGTTGCCTTCTACCGAGGGAGGCCACCGGTGGCTGTGGCACAATTGGGGTTGGGGCTGGCCACTCCCTGCCCACACCATCCCTATTGGCCACCAGTCACCTCCCATAGAGGGAGGCCAGACTGTGGCTTAGGCCTGCTCCCCCTGGGGATCGGTCCCAAGGTGTCAGTTGGACATCCCGAGGACCTCCAGACTGCAAGAGGGCACAGGCCAGGCTAAGCCTCCCGCCCCCCAGAGCATGAATTTTCGTGCACCGGGCCTCTAGTATTGGTGACAATTGAAACTACATTAACTCTTTACCACCTTGACGTTTGCTTTTACCCCTTTTTTATTCCTGGATTTCAGAACAATGTGTGCTCAGTACTGCATCTCCTTTGCTGATGTTGAAAAAGCTCATATCAACATTCGAGATTTTATCCACCTCACACCAGTGCTAACAAGCTCCATTTTGAATCAAGTAACAGGGCGCAATCTTTACTTCAAATGTGAACTCTTCCAGAAAACTGGATCTTTTAAGGTAACAACCCCCTTTGATAGTGTGGCATGTATCTTTTCAATCCCTTTTCACATATTAAATTTATTTAATCCTCTTGACTAAGTGAAGTAGGTAGAATTAATATCTTCTTATAGATGAAGAAAAGGTTATAGTTTTCCTTTGATCAAGTTCTAGTTACTTAGCATCAGGTGTTGACAAGCCACTTTTTTACTGTCAAAACTAGGATATGAGAATGAAAGAGGAAACTTTTTTTTTTCCCCTCAAAGTGTTTTTATTATAGTGCATGGGCTGGGGCTGATGGGATAGGGTAGATGTGAGCAACCATTGCCCCGATTAGCATCAGATGCCCATTCCGATAGCCATGAATGTGCCAAAGGTGCTGCCACTCTGCATCATGGTTTTCCCGATGCCACCCATCAGCTCCCGACCCCGCATTCCGATCCTGAGACAGGAAAAGGTGCCGAAGAGTGCCCTGGCCGCCATGCCCCTGGCACAGCCCATCACAAAGCCCATCTTCACCCGGTCAAAGCAGCTTAGCTGGGATGGTCCATAGGGACCCACGGTCACCGGCATCTCGCTCGTGGCCTCGGTCTTTTCAAAAGAGGAAACTTCTAATGATTAAATGGAGACAACAGACATCACCCTGAACTGCTGCAAGGCAAAATGGGCGAGTGGGATCACTGTATATCCAAGTTTAAGCACTCATTTTGTGTCAGCTTGCTGTTAATATCTTATTATGAATATAGAAGGTCTAAACCTAGCTCAAACCTCCTTTTTTTTTTCTTTGTTAATCCTCACCTGAGAATATCTTTCCATTGGTTTTTAGAGTGGAAAGGAGAGGGAGAGACAGAGAGCAACATCGTTGTGAGAGACACATTGGTTACCTCCTGCACCTGCCCTGATCAGGGCTGGGGAATCAAGCCTGCAACCAAGGTACATGCCCTCAACTGGTTTCAAACTGGGGGACCCTTCAGTCTGCAGGCCGATGCTCTATCAACTGAGCCAAACCAGCTAGGGCCTCATAAAATCTTTTTCTACAAAGCATGTAAGTGCCTTTCCTATGCAAAAAGATAGACTTGTGTGTGTTGATTCATTACCATACATTTCTGACCATTAGTTGAGCTTTAAGATCCTTAAGGTAAAAATCTGAAAGCTGCATTTCGTGCATACCTGACAGATGTCAGTACCTGTTAAGTGACTTTAAGAATCTACCTTTCCTTCCACCATTAACTGATATCTTTTATACTAAAACATAAAAAATTCTCACCCTAGCTGGTTGGGCTCAGTGAATAGGGTAAACCCATGAACTAAAGGGTCCTAGGTTTGATTCTGGTCAAGGTTGCAAGCTCATTCGATCCCTCATAGGGGTTGTGCAGGAGGCAGCCTATCAATGATCCTCATCATTGATGTTTTTTTTCTCTCTCTCTCCCTTCCTGTGAAATAAATACAAATATATATATTTTTAAAAATTATTTTTCCTTTTGCTTCTGCCAAGGCCTTGCCCTATGTCCAACTTGAAGGAGAAGGCAGGCTGGTCAACAAATAGGTCGATGAGAAGTGTCTTAAGACAGATATATACAAAGTGCCAAAGAGAGAATGACGTTACTAGCTTTGCCTTGGAGATCAAGGAAGTTGAACCAGATGAGATTGATCCAAATTTTATAGGATGAGTACTTTTATCCAGATCAGGGAGGGGGGTGGCGGAAAGAACTACAGGTAGAAATATGGCATGGGGTGTGACCTAACCTGGTAGGAGGGAAACTAGAAACAATTTAGGATGACTACAATGATACAGGCAGATTTGTATTTGAGAGGCTGTAACTTATTATTTTTTTTAACTAAAAAAGGCATTCAGCCCTAGCTGGTTTTGCTCAGTGAATAGTCAGCCTGCTGACTGAAGTGTCCTTGGTTCAATTCCAGTCAAAGGCTCGTATGTACTGCAGTTGCAGGCTCTCCCAGCCTGTGCCCCGGTTTGGGGCTCATGTAAGAGGCAATCAATGTTTTTTTCCTCACATCAATGTTTCTGTCTTTCCCTCTCTCTAAAAATCAATGGGAAAATTTCAAGTGAGAATTAAAAAGATAAAAAGGAAAGTCAAATAAAAAAATAACATTTGTCTTTTAAAGATCATTTTCATAATTTAGTGGAAATATTAGATGAGAATGATCCTTGAAGCAAGATCACTTGAGATTTGATAACACACAAGTTGAAAAATGAGGCCTCACTTAAGGTACTTGCAAAGAAGACACACATATTGAGGTAGAATAGATAAGATTTAATGATGGACTGGATGTGCAGTTATTAGGAAGAGGAAAGCTAGTAAAGCTCCTTGGTGTGTGTGTTTTCTTTAAGAAACTTAAATCAAATATAAATTCACTCTCTCTTTTCAAGGTTCGTGGTGCCCTTAATGCAATCAGAGGTTTGATTCCTACCACTTCTGAAAAGCCCAAAGCTGTTGTTACTCACAGCAGTGGAAATCACGGCCAGGCTCTGGCCTATGCTGCCAAATTGGAAGGTATTTATTGATTTCTCCAGGTACTGGGTAGGATTGTTAGAATAACAAAGTATCCTGACTTTCAGTGAAGTGGGTGATAGCTGTGGGAATTTCTCCAAGTCCCTATCTGATTACAAGCAACTGAACAGAAATTTCTACCCTAAACTTGCCTGATTTGTACTAACTGTGTTTCTCCATCTCAGGAATTCCTGCTTATATTGTGGTACCCAAAACTGCTCCCAACTGTAAAAAACTGGCAATACAAGCCTATGGAGCCTCTATAGTCTACAGTGAACAGAGCGATGAGGTGAGGAAGAGAGTAATGTTCAGTAACATCTTACCAGTTTTCGCTGTTAAATGAAATTTCTCTTTCTACATTATTGGGTACTTCTTCTCAGGCTCTGGTCTGTCCACGCCCCCATTAAAAAAATTTTTTTTAATTGATTTTTTACAGAAAGGAAGAGAGAGGGAGAGCCAGAAACATTGAATCATCGACCAGTTGCCTCCTGCACACCCTCCACTGGGGATGTGCTGCAACCAAGGTACATGTCCTTGACTGGAATCAAACCTGGGACCCTTCAGTCCGCAGGCCTACGCTGCATCCACTGAGCCAAACCAATCAGGACTCTTTTTTTCTTTTATAAAAAATATATTTTATTGATTTTTTTGCAGAGAGGAAGCGGGATAGAGTCAGAAACATCGATGAGAAAGAACCATCGATCAGCTGCCTCTCATACACCCCCTACTGAGGATGTGCCCGCAACCAAGGTGCATGTCCTTGACCGGAATCTTTCAGTCCATAGGCCGACGCTCTAGCCACTGACCCAAACCAGCTTCGGCCTTTTTTTCTTCTTTTTAAAAGATCTTATTTTTTAGAGGAAGGGAAAGGAAGCAAAACATTGGGTCAGCTGCCTTCTGATGTGAGCAAAACATTGGGTCAGCTGCCTTCTGAATACCCCTCCCCCTCCCCTAAAGAGTTGAGCCTGACCAGGAATTGAACCAACCACCTTCTGGTGCACAGGACAGTGCCCAACCAAGCCACACAGGCCAGGGCTCCTGTTTCCTTTTTATATATGCCTAACCTTTTATCTACTCACATTAGTTTCATAGTTTGAAATATCACCCATCTATATGCCAACTCCAGCCCTGAACTTTGCACTTAACCCAGAGTTGTATATTCAACAGCTACTCAGTATTCCTACTTGGATGTCTTAATAGGCATCTCAAACTTGCTGTCTAAAACCAAATGATCTCATTCTTCCCTATATTGCTCCTCTTCCAGACTTCCTCATCCTAATAAATGGCAAACTAGTTGTTAAACAAATGCTGGGAGTCATCTTGATAACTTTTGCACTCCACATCCAAATCTTAGGTCCAACTTTCAAAATATTCCCATAATTCACTTACTTCTTTAATTTTTTTTAAAAATATATTTTATTGATTTTATACAGAGAGGAAGGGAGAGAGATAGTTAGAAACATCGATGAGAGAGTCATCGATCAGCTGCCTCCTGCACACCCCCTGCTGGGGATGTGCCCGCAACCAAGGTACATGTCCTTGACCAGAATTGATCTTGGGACCTTTCAGTCTGCAGACCGACGCTCTACCACTGAGCCAAACCAGCTTCGGCCATAATTCACTTACTTCTAACAGTCCTACCATTACTACTGTTTCAAACCAACATCAGTTCTGATTCAGCAGCCGCCTAACTGGTGTCTCTGCTTCTACCCTTGTCCCACTAGTCTGTTTTCAGAGCAACCAGCTATCTACTTAGTATCAGCAGCCCTTTGTAAGTACCCTGTATAAATTTTTTCCATAGCATGTAGACATACTATAGTTACTTATATTCCACCCCTCCCCAACACACTCCTATATAGTAGAGCTAATATGCTAATTAGACCAAATGGCAGAACTACCAGTGGGCAGGGCTGCAAGGCAGCCTGAGCTGTGACTGGCCAAACTCCTTGCACAAATTTTGTGCTTCAGGCCTCTAGTTAGAACACTATTCCCTGGCCGAGACCGGTTTGGCTCAATGGATAGAGCGTCGGCTTGGGGACTAAAGGGACCCAGGTTCGATTCCGGTCGAGGGCATGTACCTTGGCTGTGGGCATATCCCCAGCGGGGGGTGTGCAAGAGGCAGCTGATCGATGACTCTCTCTCATTGATGTTTCTAGCTCTCTATCTCTCTCCCTTCCTCTCTGTACAAAATCAATATATTAAAAAACAAACAAACAAACAAAAAGAACACTATTCCCTGGAGCACAGGGACTGTTTTGTTTATATTCCCAGTGCCCAGAGTCTCAAAAAAGTAGATGGCAAATAAAATGTTAAATGCTTTAATCTAATTTGCTGAAAACACTATTAAATACAAATCAAGTATGCTAAAATAATGTACTCTTTCAGTCCAGAGAAAATATTACCAGAAGAATTATAGAAGAAACAGAAGGCATCATGGTACATCCCAATCAAGAACCTGCAGTGATGGCTGGGCAAGGGACAATTGCCATGGAAGTACTGAACCAGGTAAAAGCCTAGTCAGTTCTTGCTGAACTACTGGTAAATCTGATGTTTGACTGTAGAATCAACTATTTAATATGTATATTTCCAACTGGTGTTTAATAGACCTATTTATACTTTATCTTCTTTTCACTAAAGGTTCCTTTGGTAGATGCACTGGTGGTACCTGTAGGAGGAGGAGGAATGGTTGCTGGAATAGCAATTGCAGTTAAGGTGAGAAAACAACTTCTGGAAGACTACCCCACTTGAGGCATAGAGGATTTTATTTCACATCACAGTACATTGTGGTACTTGCTCAACATTCCCCCTAAATTGCTGTTCCCCTCATTACATAGCACGAGATGAAAGGCCTTCTCTGCCTCACCACCCTTTCCTTAATTTATGACTTTACAGCACGAAAGCAATTATGGTGAGTGGCACCCTATCACAGGCCTTTCCCTGAATTCCATCTCACCAATCTACTATCCAAGTCGGGGGCTACTGTTTTCTCAAGTGACCAATAGAACCAGATGTGATCTAGGCAACTGAAGGCCAGTATTAGGCATACAATTTAAAGTGCTTTAAAGTCATATTTTCATTACATCCATCAGAAAAGGCTCTGACTTGTATTGCCTATGTTACTGCAGGCATGCAGGCAGTAGCTATTGGTAAGGCATCTATTTCTCTTCCCAGGCTTTGAGACCTACTGTGAAGGTATATGCTGCTGAACCCTTGAATGCAGATGACTGCTACAAGTCCAAACTGAAAGGGGAACTGACCCCCAATCCCTGTCCTCCAGAAACCATAGCAGATGGTGTGAAATCCAGCATTGGCCTAAACACCTGGCCTGTTATAAGGGACCTTGTGGATGATGTCTTCACTGTCACAGAGGATGAGATTAAGGTGAGGCTCCAACAGGAAAGAAAACAAAAGAATGGAGCAACTTTTTAAGCAAAAGTTACTTCTCTTGCAGGTAGCAACTCATCCACTGGGGATTTGACTTGGTGACTCATGACATGGGAAGGTGCCCTAGATAACTGGGAAAACTCTCATTTAAGAAGCAGAGTTAGAATGAGGAAAAAAAAAAAAAAAAAAAAAAAGACTAGCTCTTCATTGGCAAGCATAAGTATATGTCACTTAGCTTTTAACTGTAAAGGCCCACCAACTAGGCATTTCTTCTCCCATTTCACTAATTCTTACTCCCTCTCTACCAACAGTATGCAACCCAGCTGGTATGGGAGAGGATGAAACTGCTTATTGAACCTACAGCTGCTGTTGGAGTGGCTGCTGTTCTGTCTCAGCATTTTCAAACAATTTCCCCAGAAGTAAAGAACATTTGTATTGTGCTCAGTGGTGGAAATGTAGATTTAACTTCTATCACTTGGATGAAGCAGGATGAAAGGCCAGTTCCTTATCAATCCGTTTCTTTTTAATTTATGCAGAAGGAAGAAATGTGATTTAGTGTCTCTAGACACTTGGAAATTTTGTTTCCTAGTCACTGTTAACTTCCCACATCTTACCTACTTAAACAGCTTTCAACATTCTAATGGAGGGTAGATATATCAATAAGATCTAAGGGTGTTTTTTTTTTTTTTATAAAGTAGCAATAGAAAAAACATCCATACTTAACTGAGACACCTTGTCAAGGCCAAGAAAAATCTTTTGCAAAAACGAACAGCAGGCTTATAGGCTAAAATAGATAACATAACTTTGCCCAATCACAACCTGTAGGTTCCCATCCCTAGGGTGCTAACTAGTAGCAAGGAGATAGAATCAATTGTATTCATTACTTCATGTCCATTTCTGGCAGCACTGTTGAAATCTCACTGTTCACCCAAGGTACTGGTTCTGGAACATAGGGATCGTAAGTCCATTTGGGAAAAACTCGTTTATAGAGGTTCATCAGTACTGTGTCCTGAGATTTTAGCTTCCCATCAAAACTGCACTTCATATGGCCATGAGTACCTAGAAAGAAAACACAGCAAGGTGATGGAATTAAAATAAAATTTTAGCACTGGCGATATCTAGCTAAGGTTCCAAACACCACATTCTCTTACCTAAAGGCTCCTTGATATGTCCCCTGCGGCCCCACTTCGTTCTCAGTTCCACCGGTTTAAACCACAGCACATCCTCTTAGAATGAAACACACAGAACACCAAGATATATTTACTTGCAAAATGTACACCCAACCTTCACCCCATAAAGACAATCAGATCCCACCCTTCACACCTACCTCTGTTGAAGAACATATAACGTACTACTGCCATCTTGGTAAAAATTTTGAAAGGATGACCACTCAGAACAACTCTCTTGATGACCATCCTGTCTGGATCCACTGACAAGAGATGGCCTGTAGCAATGAGGCTGTGCATTCCTAAGGGGCAAAAGCAGAGCAGCAAGTCTTTAGGTCAAAGCATTTATTGCTCCAATCCATTTAAAGACCTATGCAAGATATTCTTAGAGAAACCTTAAAATAGGGATGCACTATGTTGTCTTCCTAGCTCCATGGCAAAGATCACTAAGTGATATTCCTACTGAGCCTGTTCCTATAACCTATTCTAAATGTAGCACTTTGAACAGCTTCTACCAATTAGCTCCAGTTTGCAAGCAAAATCACACCCCATTGCCTAGCTGGTGTGGCCCAGTGGTTGAACATCAATACATGAACCAAGAGGTCACTGGTTTGATTGCCATTCAGGGCACATCCTGGGGTTGCAGGCTTGATCCCCAGTATGGGGCGTGCAAGAGGCAGCTGATCAATGATGTTTTTCTCTCATCAATTTTTCTATCTATCACTCTCCCTCTCTTAAAAAAAAAAAAATCACCATAAATGTATTTTTTTTTAAAAGAAGAAAGAAACAAACCCCCCTTGTCACCCCTACCTTAGACCCACTGTAAGGCTGAGACTGGGATATTCTGAAAACTGTCATCCCCTTCTCTATACCATTTGGCCCCCAAATCTAAATACAGAAAACCATGTTGAGTCTATTAGAGACCTGTAGGTCTGTTTACCTGGTGAACTCAACTTACCATTGCTGTTCTGTTTGAAAAGCAGCACAGATGCAGGAGGAAAAGTGATTGGGGCATATACTGTCACCACCAGGGCCACATCAGCAGTCAAGAACCTCTGAAATTTATGTTTATCCGCTGCCATAATAAAGGTTAAAAAATAAAACCCAAAATCATTTTGAGAAACCACAGGTAATCCAGGGGCCCGTGAAAAGCTGTATCACTGCAACTCTTACACCCAAGGCAACTTGTGTTTCCTCACCCCACTAGTTCTCAAAATATTTTCCTGCCCCAATACACCTCAAAGATACAGCCCAACCCTATCACAGTGATTTTTCAGAGGCAGAATTTGACCCTGGACTACATTTGGGGTTTGAAAAAGTGATTCTAATACTTATCACCCCTACCTACCTCATTCAGGAATCAGTATTTTATAGAGACTATGTCCACTAAATCAACAGTTCTTAGTCTTGAGTGAGAATTGGCAAACATTTTCTCTAAAGGACCAGATAGTAAATATTTTAGGCTTTATGACCATAGAGTCTCTAACTACTCAACTGTCACTGTAGTACAAAAATAGCCAAGACGATATATTTTTTTAAAAAGCAAAACTGTATTCCAAACAAAACATTATAAACAGTAGGACTTGGCCTAAGGGCTGTGTTTTACTGACCTCTGATCTTGGGGACTATCTGGAACTTCTTTTTTTTACCTTCAATGAAACCCTCCTCCTTTTTAAATACTGAAGTATAGGGAAGTAAAATATTTTGAAGGAAAGAAAAGTTAACCCCTCATTTAGACAGCATTGGTGGTGAGAACAGAAATTATCCAGAGCTCCCATTAATAATGCCTTTATCATCTTCCTCTGGACACTGCCAAGCTGAGTGTAAGTCACGTTCAAAAGCCCCCAACTTAGTACAAAACTTCCCACTCCTAATTTGTAGCACAATAATTTTTGACACACAAGTGTCACCACTTTACAAACTCTCATTTAGTCTCCACATCTCAGAAGCCACACATCTCTTGCTTAATCCATCTGGGGATAACCCACTAGCCTTCATCCATACTGGCAATGGCATATCAGATGCCAACGGTTCCATACTTTGATACACCATTATTATAAAGCCGCCTACTCTGACTCAAAATCTACCCTAGGACAAATACTCATGGCAGAGACCTCAGCACTACACAGAGGTAGCATCACTGGGGTGCTTCAGACAGGTTCAGACATTCTGAATAAACACATCATTGGCTTCTAAACCAGAGTACTGAAATGCCTCTAACCCAGAGACCTAGAATTTGAAACTGTGCGCTCTGTACTACCTCACCTAATGTTAGTCTCCCAAGAGACAATAGGATAGACAAGAACCCAGAGGTTCCCAACTGCTTACCTGCAGTGTGCTGGGAAAATAAAGGCGAGGCTCGAAAGCGCCTGAACCCACAGTGAAAGATCAGTTCCTCTTTAGCTTTCACAGGTTCAGTGTTGCCAGGATGCCGGCTTACCACCATATTCAGTACTGACATCTAGTGACCAAGTAAGAAAAACAGAACTTCATATCTAGAACAGCTTAACCTGGAAGAAGGCACACCAAACTAACAGGTTCAGATTCACTCTAAGAACTGACTGCTAATTTATGGTGTGGTACAGATGTGACAGATTCACCTTTTATCTTCACACCGACTGGCATTTAAACCGAACATAGGCTGGTTTTCAGAGCTTTCAACTACTCATCTATACTATTATAGTTGACATTCCAGTGTCTAAAATGCAAGAACTCAACATCTGCCACATGCGCAGTGACTTCAAGCCACTCACTCACCACACACCTCAAAATCACACTCATGTAAGCCCCTTTCTTCCTCAACACTTCCTCACACTGACCAAAGGCCAGAGCTCTCACATTCATTCCAACCTTATAACTACTGCCTCCAAGAAGAAAGATCTACATCTTGGCATAAACCCTTTTTATTTTCAAGGCTGGTTAAAATCTGATCTAACAAATATACTTATCTCAGAGAAGTCTCAGACCACACAGGTTGCATCATTATGATGCTTCAGACAGGTTCAGACATGTTGGGTTACACCATCATTGACTTCTCTATCACCTCAGTCTAATCCTAAAGGCATATTTTTTTCACATCCCAATGAGCAAAATGTCAGCGATAAAATGTTAAGACTGCCAGAAAAAAATTGGTCAGAAAATTTCACAACTCCCATTTCCCATAAGACTAACCTTCTGTTCATGAGGCAGTAAAGAAAACGCAGCCAACGGAGCTCCACGCTTGAAGTGCTCAACCACAGAGACAGGCACTTCAGAGACATGAAGTGTGACGTACCAGCCAACCTGCCAGATAAAGCAGAAAACAGCCACCCAATTAGCCTTAAGGCCTCATTAATGATGAAACATTTCTCCAAATATGTTAAAAAGTCTCATAAGGCCAACTCCTGTCCTTCAAAATTACCTTTCACAGATGCCACAACTATCCAGATTAAACTTTTCCAGTTAACATATCTGATAACCTCCTTCTCCCAATATCACTCTTATCAGTGACTCAGTGGCTCCTCTAATTCAGCTATGAGCAGCACAAAACTAAATAAGGTATCTTGTCAAGAGGAGTAAAGGAGGAGGCCCTTCGGCAAACAGAAGCAAACTGTAGGGGTGAAAAAAGGAAGGAAGATACCTCAGCTCCTTCAACGTCTTTTTCCTTGATTTCTTTAAAGACGCGTTTCCTGGTATTGGTAAAGTTCTGAAACTGAAAGATCCGAGCATAATCTTGAGGAAGGTTTTCCTTAGGATCCCATGGAGATGTCCGGAAGCTCTTGAGGCCTCTGTATTTCTGAAATCTAGAATATAGGAGATTTTAAATAAATTAATAGTGTAATTTATATGGTGCTACTCTTTCACTTAAGTCAATAATATGGCTAAGGCTCTAACTTAAAGAACTCTTATCACTATTTCTTCAAGACAACCTAATAGCCCAAGTCAAGACCACACTCTAAAATAGTTAACAAATATTTCAGAACCAAACCCAAGTTTCTTACTGACAAAGGAGACAAAGTATTTATAGTGGCTCCCAGATGCCTATCAGGGAGTGACATCTGAGGAACATGGTCCTTGATAAAAACTTAACTTCTCTAATATCCAACAAACTCCATAAATTTTCAGACTAATCCCCATGCTTTTATTCTTGTGGTTCTACCTAAACTCCCCCAAATCTCCAAACATTCTATATATTCAGTATTAGTTCACATAGGAAGCCTTGTTAATTAATCTTATTAAAATACTGTTAAACAATAGTCTATACCACACAGTCTAGAACTTGGTAATATATTAGTTTCCTGTATGGATGTCTTATCTTCCCACATAGAATGTTAGCCTTTCAGGAGCAGAACAATGTTTTTCTCCTTTTGTGTCACACTGACAACTCTGAGCCACATAAATTTAAAATAAAAAATGTATTAATTGA